CCACCCGCCGCATGAATAAGCAAGGCAGTGAGGCGCGCGGTCGCGGCCGCGGATGGCGGGGCGTCTTCCTGGAAATGAGGCCGTGTCTCGAAGTGGCCTTTTCCGCCCTTTTCAATCGATAGCTCCGCTGGCGCCTCGCGGCCTTGCACTCAGCCGTCTCACTGCGCCCATTGCTTTCGCCGGGAGAGCGCCTGGCCCGGGATCCGAGCCCCGGTCCGCGGCCCCCACCGTCCCTCTGGCCGGCCGTCTATTCAATTCTTGCGGGATGTCCTCCGCGACACCCTCCGGCCCGAACACTTTAATAATGGGTCGTCTGCGAATCAACGCATTTGTAATCGTACTTAGCCATGTGCAAGAGCGAAGCGGGAAGGGGGCGGGGGATGCGGAAGGTAACTGCGCACCCTGGGTGGTTGTTGGAGGGGGGGAGCGATGAGGAGGCTGATTGCATGGACTAACACATTGCACCTTTGCTATCTTGTCAGTGCCTTGCAAACATAATTATTTTCACTTCTTCCGCCGAAAGACATTGCTTCTGCACAAGAAAAGTATATTGTAATACCGTTGACTGCCAACATATGTGTTGACTCTTAAGTAAGAATATGAAAGTTTGTACGGAACACACTCTTGTTTATCATCCTCTTCTTACATTCCCCCGTGTGTTTGTTGCTGACGCGCAATATCGTGAGCCATTGAAATTGCACACAGAGTAGGAGAGATACCACAGAACAAAAGTCATATCTCTAATCGACACAGGATTGTTGCTTAGGTGTCGGATGAAGGCAATGAAATTATTACTTCTAACACGACGATACGTTGGACATGCATGGATTTTGCTATTTGTTTTCGTGGTGTGGTTGTGTTTTCTGTATTGTGGCCGGTTGACCCGATAAAATATTTTATTTATAATATAGCTTTTCAAACTTTTCGACCCTAAATATTAACATGATTGTTATTTGATGAAGAGTCAGAAGTTGAGGATGGATTGGAAATGATAGTTTTTGGTAGTAGGAGGCACCTTTACGTTTGACAACTTAAATTCATGTTATATTATATCGCATATTTCATACTATTTAAGGAAAAGCAATAACTGCTTAAATATTAAAGCACTTGCTTTCTTATTTATAAAAAAATCTGTAAACATCAATAAATCTCAACTTTCTATATATATTTATACCCTTATTTATACTCAATCATTATTTTTTCTCTAATCAAAGTTCTCAGGTTCTTCATAATAGTAGTGTGTTGCTTCTTAGTCCCAGTGTTATAAGCAATACACCCCGACAAAATTTATGTTGTTCAAAAACATTTTGCAGTAGCGAAAGAATGAAGATCGTGACATAGTGGGCCGACTGTACGGATTTCCTGCTGCGAGTCCTTGAATTCAAATATTTCGTTCTTGATTATGTTTTATCTGTACATTAACAGTGTATCAAAATCTTCCGATCCCATTAACAATCTTAGAGCTATTCTCTAGGAAATCGGTTGAAGTTATAGCTAGGAAATCTAGTTTTATTAGCATAACTTTTTATGAAAACATCATGCTGGTTAGGCATGCGCATACACAATAGCGTGGTCTAGAGATCTATGTTTGTATGGAGGAAGTACTTGTTCCCTGAATCATAATGTTTACTGGTGTAGCCAATGAACAAACAACAGATCTCGTGGGAAACAGAAATCGCCTATCGTCAATACATAACATTGACTTTGAATGAAAACAACGGTGTGTTAATGTAGACTTCTTCGCGTATGAGTAACAGAACACGTGGGACAAATATTAAATGTTTTTGTTGTCTTTTACTATTACACCACGGATTCTTCAATCCAGGAAGCTTCTTAATTTTAAGTACTAGGACTCCAAAGACATGATTTATTTAATGTTTCTATTTTCTCTTCACATCGCTTGTTTACATCAGATTTTTTTTCATAATGACATTGGAATTGTACCACTTGGAAAATGTTTGAACGATAAGCATAGAATATTGTAAGTCGCAATTCTGATCCGAACTTACTCCTCTATTATTTTATGATTAGGCTGGTGCCATTGTTAGGAGATTTTTAATGGGAACATGTCGTGTTCAAGCTCTCTTAATTTTTCTTATTATTGGATCTTCTTTTCAGATATTAACTATATCTGTTAGCAGTTTATCTCCTATGTCATTTAGCTTGTATATTTATACCCCTTTCTATTCGTCTTGAAAAAATTCTAGGTCTTCGGGAAACCGTACTTAGTCCAGGCATTATCGGAAAGATTTTTTATAATGGGATAACGTTTGACGAAGCCCATCGAAGAAGTTATCTTTTCGTGGATAGTATTAATCCTCTAACTTTCTTTTCTGGAATAGATGACAAAGAACGACACTAACATACGTTTTTACTGAAGAGACTCTAGTCATAACGCTACTCGATAAATCATGTTTATATGGGACCTATAGTCTCCTTAATATTCAACCTAATGACACAGTTTTCATTCGCCGAATTTCTTTGAACGAATAGAATGTCATTTCCATACACTGGCAAACAGAACTACACTTATAACTTGTATTCAAGCAAGAAACTGCATTACATGTATTTCTTAATTATTCAATTACGTTCTGTCACGTTTAAATGCGCTTTTGACGTAGTGTACATTCGTTATGAATAGTTTGTTAAGTACGCAAAAACTAAATATCATGTACGTTATTGAAATTAACTTACATCTGAGATTTCATATAGTGTAATTTCCGTGGTTTATTGTAATTGACAACTATGCTCTCTTTCGTTATATCGAATTATTTCCGGCCATTACATCATTATTCTCAGGAAAGACTGAATCAGTTTTTTTAAATTTATGATAAAAATATATGATTTATATGAAATATATGATTTATACGATACAAAAATCAAGATGTTATTGAAGTACTAAGTGAATTCTTTTCAGTTTAATTTCTTCTACACATTCTGTGTTCCACAAAGATTCAGCAAGACCAGCAATGTGTAATGCACATATTGGTATATATTGATGATATGCACTTTCCTAAATTCCTTAAATAATGATGTCAAGTTTATCATTCACGATGATGTCATGAGGTATCATAAAATGATTACATGAAATATTTTAGATCTCAGAAGGGAAATTTTGTAAAAGTAAAATACATTATTCGAGATTTATCTACTAATAATACTTTCTTGTCCTTGTATTTACAAAACGTAATACTTGTAAAAATTGATTAAAAATAATTCTTACTTGATTTCCCAAACAGAATAAAATAGAATTTCATGCAATGATCTATACGTAAAGCACGAAAGTCTTTCATCCCTTTATTGTAGTATCGTGAACGCAAAAACAATACTATGAAATATCGCGTTTTGGTCTGTTTACTAAATATTTTCCATGTGACACTTAAAATAAATGCAACTTTCTTCCTTTGTGTTTTTGACATGTCGAATAATCCTCAATCGACTGTCGGTTGAATGTGTTTATTTTTGCTAAAGTTGACACAATTGAAAATATGTTTTTATGTTCATGCAATGGGGAAAACATTGTTGTCAAGCGACTTTAAACATTTAAAATCTATACCGAAGGCTAAAATGCTAAATAAAATATTTTCTGCTGCATAATTGTTTCTATAGTTATATGCTGACAAAGCGAAAAAAATATTATAAAGTAATATAATATTAATTATTATTTCAACTGTGTAATTCTAAAATACTAAATATCACCACAAAAAGTTCTTGCGTTTCCCTATCAATGACCTCCACCTCGGTCAAGTTTTCGTCCAATTCTCTTGGTCCATCGAACAAATATTCAAATGGACCTTTGCATTGCTTCTGGACTTGTAACTTCCCTTTGGTCACGATTGAGCTGTGATGGATGAGAGGGGAATTAAGTTCTTTTATCAACAATACCATCAAATAATTGTTCTCCATTTTCCGCTCTAGCGAGTTGAGTCCATGAATTAGCAGACTATATATGATAAGAGACAAAATGTGTAGCTGATTTTTTCAATGCAGATACTTTGAATTGAAACCTTCTTTTCCGTGGAGAGACTCAGGCCAGTCTCTCCTCTTCTGTCAGACCACGCAAATTTCGGTAAACTCCTCGCTTCTCCTAGCGGAGAAAGGAAGTATTTCTTGGACAACGAAACAGGCGATTTTGAATTTTGCTCAAAGGCTTCATTTAGGCTTACAGATCTTTTACATGCAGTAAACCTACTAACTTAAGACAGCCCTCCGAAGGGTTTTCTCGCCCTAAAAAATCCACGGTTTCGATCAGGTTTGAAGCCGCGAACAGTCCGATATGCTAACCGTTAAACCATCGCCGCCGCGTTGCTTGCTGTCGCATAAGAGCAAATTTTTTTTGTTATTAACTAAAACTTTTGTTATTGACTATTAACTTTTGTTATTGACTAAAAAACTCGTCAATATTTTATTCATAATTCAATCTAGAATAGTAAAAAATTGACGGTAGAAGGTTCGGAGTTCACTGAAACACACTATTTAAATTATACTATTCCCTCATGCAGCATAGTTGGTTTTTTGAAGCTAAACAAATAAATACATCCATTTTTAAATTTAATTTATTACTTAATATTTCATATCTAGATTTGTTTTACCATACATTGTGTAAATGAGGTGGTTAAAGCGAAAGTGGTGTAAGTCCTGTTTTTAAAATAAAGTCCTGAAATATATTCAATTACTGATTGTTATATTTCAGGATATTCAATTACTTTAAAAACATGACTTAGACCACTTTGAATTTAACACCCTAAAATGTATACGGAATCAAGTTTTGTGAATTGTTTAATCCCACTACTTTGCACTCCATGTCGCAAAGATACACTTGTGCCTAGAGCCAGGAGGCTCTCTCTATTCCCAACGCAACCCGCTTTTCTCTTTTGGCGTAGTAAAACAGTTGGGGGTTGGGGAATTAATCGCGTCTCTGGGAGGATCGTAGCTTGAGGATTTATTCTTTGATATCAAACATCGTGAATATATATTGGGTTTGATGATATTGACGGTGATCATAGGTAAGATGTTAGTGCCTTGACAAGACGTTTATTCATGCATTTTTTGCATATTTTGCTCTAACTACATCGTTCTTCGGACCTAAAGATTTTGAACGGTAGATCGTCAAATACCCACATTATATATTTATAGATTTTTCATAAATATATTTAAGAAAATTGCTGATTTAAATCTGTCATTTATTCTCCAATGTGTAAACACAGATTAATATGCGTTCCTTATCAGATTATGACCACGGAACATTGTTTACATGTGAGGAATTTTAGAAAACTGTTTGAGTGGGATTTTGTTTTGATACGATTTTTGTAATGAATTTTGTCAAGCTTAGAACTATTTAATCGTCGGTAGTAGTGCCAACCATTTTACGAATAGGAATTTGTTTCTTAAAAACTTTTTCTCAAATTTGTTTGTTCGAAACGAAATGTCTTTTGACTAATGGTTTCTTTGAATTGTATCTTCTGAACAAAACGACATAAGTGTCGTAAGGTCGTTCACAATGCTATTAGGTTTTTACAGTGTATTATTTTTAGGATAATTTCAATTGTGATTTTACACTGAGTGAAAGTACAGCAATGGATATTCGTAACTTGCATTTAAAGACCATCCTATTCTCATAAGCAACATTGCACAACATATCTTTGTATTAGATTTGAATACAGAAGAAATGAATGGAAGCAATAGAAAAATATAGTTTCTTGTTGTTTTGCAGTAATAAAACAATAGTGTCTAGTTTTGTATTAAAACTAGACATTATTGTTTTATTTTTGCAAATGAACAAGAAACTATTATACCCACAGGTTGACACATGTAAATCATCTCCAAAATCTTCCACTTACATTTTGCAATGATTAGGAAAACGTGAACGATTCAATGACATTCCCTCATAGTTAATGGCTAATACGTACTGTTTGCCACCAGTACCATTGTCTTCCTTTTGTGGTTATCACACACCTCCTTGGGTTTAAGAATAAGATCGACGCCACATGTGCTGCCGAGAGGGGAAATAAAATGATCGTAAGTAGATGATCGCGAGTTTAAATTCTGCATTACGACACGACCGTTCCCAAGTTCAATATTTTGAACCCTTTTAGTTGCGTACCAGCACACAATGCATCATTTCAGACATAAAAAATCATTATAGATCACTCCATATTCCTCTTAATATTCAACGAAACATGGAACTACATGCATTGTTGTGTCCTCAGATGAACGAATACCCGTCGATTGAGTTTTGTATCAGTTTCGCATTTCATCACAACCTGCATGTCATGGAAACTTAATGTTAATTAACGAATTTTCATATTAATATTATAATTTATTATTAATGTTTTATTCCAGTGATTTATTTGAAAGAAACTATTCGTGTAATTATCTGATTCAAGTATATGAGTTTATTAGTGAGGGGTCTTGGTGACAGACACTTCGCAGATTAGCTTGTTGATTAGAATCTCAGCTCCATCTGAACAGACAGTTCTGTTTCATGTTAAACTAACTTAATAACTTCTGCAACATGGTACACATTCGGAAGATATAACGCAGCATTTATGACTTACGAAATTGCCCCAGAATGTCTAATTTCGCCTCCCTTAAGGATCCTAATGTTAATGAGATCGTGTAAAGATATCCGTGTTTGCGTTCACAGGTGCTCTTGAACGTTGTTGGTGCTTGCTAAACAAGTAAAAGTCTACTTTTAGCTGAGACAACTTTCTCATGTTTTTATTATCAGTTAATTTTTAACGTGCAACACTATTGAAAAATGGTATGTTTCTATTCTAGCTGTAAATAGCGCTGTCCAGTTTTCATGTGAATCTATTACTTTTACCGATTGCGGCGCAATAAGTGTTCCGAGTTTAAGGCTTGCCAAACCGCGTCAGCGCGAGCTACTTGCCCGTCTGGAAGCCCAGCGCCTTTGCGAGCAGGGTCAACTTTTCTTGACTGCACAAGTTGAACAGGCGCGAGTCTGGGAATAGTGGAGTCATATTAAAATATGTTTGCTAGATTTGTTGTCGCATTCCTCTCGATCAAACATTCGAGATATGAATTATGTTTACATTTCTTACTACTTATAACTATTTCATGTTTATTTTCTGAATTCTGTCTTGTATAAACCCTTTTGCTAATGAGCGGGAATGTGTTTGTAAGGCGAATTCTTTCCTTGTTTTCATTTTGTGTTGTTTTATTAAATCATTTATTTAATCATTTGTTATATATTATTATATTTGATATAATAATCATTTGTTGTATATAGCAAAAAAGTGAAATAAATTAATAATTCTCTACGCGAACCACTCTTTTAGAAAACAAAAATCTTTGTTATATCTTCTAACCTTAAGGTAGGCAGTTCATTCAATGATTGCACTATTACGTAAACACAATTACAAAATCAAAATACTTTAGTTTCAAAATTGTTAATTTTACTTTCAATGGACACTTTGAAAAATGATTAATGTATTATTTTATTTTAATGAAGCATTTATTTGCTTTTTAACAGATGAAATGAGAATTAATATCGCTATATTTAGTGAAATACCTATCAACTATGTTCCACAATAGACTGCCATGCAGTATGTAGCCAGTGACGTACCGCTATTCCGGAGCATTGTCCAACCCTTACTTTTAAATTCGCGCCAGTGGCTCTGGACTCAGCACCCCCAAATTCAAGTGAATTAGTTACCCGGGATCTCGACATGTCTGTATTCAAGCACGTGTCAAGTTGCCTGTGATAAATACAGAGGGAGTTTTATTTATACGTTCGATTAGTTCTTCTCTGTCCACGAAGATGAATACTTTTAACGCGAAAATTTTGTTTCATGAGTTTTGTTTTTCAAGGTTACCTACCCTCAAATTGTTCTCATATACAATAGTGAAAATAAAAAAGTTTTAATTCTGAATAATCTCATAAGAATAATCTCGAGACAGTCGGCTAAGGAGAGAAAGTAAGAAGAAAGTACCTGCATATTGAGATATTGCCTTCCACGCAAAAG